CAGAAGGTAACTTAGAAATACGATTATCTGATTTAATAAATTTGGGTCTTCGAAAACCAATTGAAGATCCTTCCCACTTTCTTTTCTCAACAAATTTCTCTTCACTCTGCCGATTCTTATTTCTTTCAGTAACTTCGGCAGCATTAACAGCTAAAAAGAAAGTTTCAGGGTTCATAGCAATCACGAATTCTCGAATAGAAGGTTTCAGACCCCAAATATATCTTTCTACTTTTCGGGATTTTGAAGATACATAATGTTCTGCAAATCGGGAAAACTCAATAAATTTCTCAGTATAATCACGCACAGATCTGCTCCCTTGCTCTAGCTTAAGAAAATCTTCCTCCATTTGTCTTACTGCTGTCATAGGACAGAATTGTGTTTTAAATTTACTMMCAAATTCTTCCCAAGACATTGTTTGCAGTATATTTGGTTGTGCCGAGGACTCCACATCCCACCAATATAAGGCATTAGATTTGAGCATAGATACTGTGAATCTAACATTATCTTCTTCAGAACACCTACTAGTGTTAAATATTGATTCAATCTCTTTTTATCCAGCACATTGCTTTAACTGGATCTCTCTCTCCTGAAAAGATTGGAGGTTTACATGTCAGAAACATCTTTATATCTCCTCCCCGATTATTGCTGCCTGCTGAAGGAGCTGGAGGATTAATTCCAACTTGCTCAGTTTCTATTTTAGCTGGCAGTCCCATAATAGATATTAGAGTTTCCCTCAGTTTTCCCATTTCTTCTGCTAGATCATTTCTAGTTATAAACTCTGATTGTTGCCTTTGTTCTTGTTGAGCATTCCCAAAAATAGATTCCCTTTGATCAGAGCGAATTTCAGCCTGACTCCTCTCAGGAATCTGACTCCTCCCTTGATTCCTACCCCTACCCTTTCCACGACCTCTACTCCTTGAAACATAGGTTGATGGATTAGTAGGAGATTCCTCCCTTTCTTCAGATACAGGACGGGCAGTTCTCTCTGACCTTCGTGATCGACTAGACATCTGTAGATATTTTAGTATTAAATATCACGTATTCACATTCTTAAATATAATATGGTGTCCGAGTATAGGTATGTACCTGTAAATTCATAATTACATTGGCGATTTGTAATTCGAATTCACCTTACATACTGTTCTCTTTAACCCTTTATCTTTTATTCCCAGTGATACTAATAATGTCCGAGACTCTTAACATGCAAATGACAGTTTAAGTCTAGGTATCATCCTTTGAATACCTAAATCTCTTAAACTAAGGCTCTGATACCACTTCTGTAACACTCCCAAACACCACATTTGCATATAACACATATTTCTTTTCATAGAAATATAGTTTACATCATAAGGTCCCACTAATACAAGGATTACTATATGTACAAAATTTACATATAAAAATTTCCAAAACAAATCTTATACTATTACATGTAATGTAACATGTATCTTCAAAAACAGACAATAGATTAGGAAAATAATCACATTTTCCCTTTCCCTTTTATATTCCCGGAACCCGCTATTCCTGCATTCCATAATTTAAAACAGAAAATGAGGGTTAGACCAGATGAGTCTAGTGAGTAAATCCCTTCTTTGCAAATGCAGGGTGATGAACACCAAAATATGATAATGTAATTCYGCTTAGAATTATTCTGCAGTACAAATAAATGATACAGTTCACAATATCATGCAAAATAGAGTACACCCAAGAACCTCAGTTCTATAAAATATCTCTGATTAGAGATCCAACGTTCCCAATATGAAATAAATATTGTAACCAAAACTTCTTGAATTAATAGACCATTCCTTTAAAAAATATTAACAGAAAAGATTTAAGGCAATATTTGCCTGATATGACAAACCATTTTTCCCTTCTCAATAACATCTAAATTATTATTAAATAGAAATAATATCTTTAATTCATCATGTCACAAAGAAATGATGACTCAAAGTTATTAAATCCAATTAGTAATAATAATAATAAGAGTTATAATATTATCCACATATGACAATGCCACCCTTATTCCAAGTACACCTCTCCTTGATATGTCACCCTTATTCCTCCATCAAAACAGGGCTACTTATCAGAACAGACAAAAGTCACCACGTCTGAAAGTACTCATTCCCAGTTCCAAACCAGAACAGACAAAAGTTACCACGTCTGGGGGAACTATTACTTAAAACAAGTTTCATAACAAAACAGACTTACGTCACCATGCTTGGTAGAAACAATTTACAAAATCCACTTCCATACCAAAACAGACTTATGTCACCACGCTTGGTAGGAAGGTTTCTCAAAATATATAGTTTCATACCAAAACAGACTTACGTTACCACGCTTGGTAGAAACATTTCCCAAAAATCCCGTTCCAAACCAAAACAGACTTACGTCACCACGCTTGGTAGGAACATATTTTTTTATTTAGAAAGATATAAAATACTCATTTTATAACCCATAACTAAACCTAATAATAGATATTTTAAACTATATAACAAGACTAAAATATAAAACTCATGAAAAATTCCAAATAAAAAGTTATCCGGACAAGTTATCCGGATATAAAGTCCGGACAACACTTGCCCCTTTTTGTCCGATTTACTAATCCGGACAACTCATCGCCCAAGACTTGTCCAATTAAACACTTGAAATTATTCAAACACTCTTGCCCGGATAACAAATCCGGACAATACACCGCCCAAAGCTTAACCGGTTTAACACTTAGAAATATTCCAATTTCTATCCGGATAAGAGTCCGGACAATACATCGTCCAA